GGGTTTCAATAGAGGGAGAGGAGCAAGTGATAACTACCTGAGGTTCCCTGTCTGTGATGGCGGGGGGCAGGCCAGAGAAGTCCAGATCCCCTCATTGTTTCATGGCCAGAACAAGGAGGTCAGATGAAGGGCGATCCAATCTTGATGTCCTCATGCCTTGAGAGACACGAGGACAATCAGCAAACACAAGGATTCAGACCGGCCTTGATCCAGTCTGACCCAGTGACCCTCTTGATCACACTTGAAACAAGGACACAGAAGTTCTCAGGCCTTGGGAGACCAATGAGCCTAGGGTTTTGCTTTGGCTAACCAAGAGGCCTTAGCCATCAACAGGCATTTTGTTTTGGGGCTTTTTCATTTTTCCCATGATACACCTCAAAGGCTACAGTTAAGACTTCTGCCTGTGGAATCAGGGATCCTCCCTCTAGATGTTTAAGTTTGGCCCTAATATCAGGGAAACTTTGGGAAAAGAAGTGGGTCATAAGGAGAACCCTAGTTCCCATCTGGGGTCTCAGGTCCAGGTTGGTGTATTGTGAGAGGGCCTTTGTAAGGCAGTCTAGGAGTTGAGGTGGGCTTTCATTACTTTCCTGGGTGATCCCTTGGACTTTTTCATAATTTACTGCCTTAAGGGGCAGTCTTGTGGAGACCAGCCAGGAGCAAGTTAAAACCTATTCCTAGCTAGGATGCCGCCTGGGGTATTGTAATCCCATTCAGGGTCCTGGTCAGGAACTGTCCTAGCCTCAGCGGGTAGGTGTCATCAGTTTGGTGGAGTTAATAAACAAGGCCTTATATGTGATAGTTGAGTACTCTGCTTTACCGCCACTTACTCAGCCCTGACTGGGTGTGCAGCCTGTCACTGAGGAGGGAGAAAGGAAAACCAGAGAGACTAGAGAGAAAGAGGAAGGACTACTGGTTGAAGCTGATAAGAGGGAGGTTCGCTAGTGTGGTAGAAAATAGTGGAGAAATCTTCTGGTTTGTACTTCCTAGCTGAGAGTTGTTTCCTCCTTGGTTGGTTTATCCCAAAATAACATCACACCACATAGTTCCTTTAAGATTATTTAAGTATAGACTTTTAACTATCAACCCCAGTATTACAGATTTTTCAGATTTGTGACATTACACAATATGCTTATATTTGGTGTCATGACTCAGATAGGCTCTCCAGGTGCCTATGCTCCCCTTCATGGTCTGAGCCACACTGGGATACCCACAGACTCATCTTCCAGCTCATTGATGGCTCAGCACCCCATCTACCAGCGGAATTGGGTAAGCTACCCTTTGGTTGGTGTAAACGTTTCCCTGAGTCCAAAGAAGTGGCTGTTGAGTGTCTGGCACCCTTCTGGTATTCTTGGAGGCGGAGGTACCCCCAGCCATGATCTTTAAGGCTGTTACCTGTCTCTTCACCTGACCCCATCCCACCACTCTCTGAACTGCAATTCTGCAGTTTCCTTAGACCCAACTAGGCTATTGTGCCCCTTCCTGCCCTCTTCTCCCATCTTCTCTCTGGAGCTGCCTGTAATCCCACAGTTCCTCTGTGCCCTTGTGGCTTTTTCAACCTCGTTCCTAACCCTTTCTCATGGGTAAGGTCTCTCTTCCCCCCTGGAGCTCAGTTTTCATCTTCCCCTTCTAGCCTCTACAAAAGCCCTGGTCCCATGTGTCAAGTCTCTCCTCTGGCTTAGCCAGGCTAAGCAAGCCCCATTGAGTGTGTTGACAACCTACTGAATGGCTTGGTCCTCATTTGGTCCTCCCTGAGTCCTGGGGACAACATGAATACAGACTGCAGTAACATTTTACCTCTCCTCTCTCATCCATGGGAATGGTGTCTCCCACACCCTCTCATTTCCCCTTGGGATGCTCTTAGAAAACCTCCAGCCTCTACACCTGGCACCTGACCTGAAGTGCCCTAAACTTACTCACTTTTGCAATCAAATTTGGCCTCAATATCTCTTATAATCAAACTGAATGGCTGCTTAACAGCACCCTAGGTCCTAATTTTATTCGGGACCTTTATAAATACTGCGAGCAATCGGGGAAATGGAGAGAGATTCCCCTTTCCCTACATTCAAGCTTTCTCTTTTCTCTACTCCAAGCCCACTTTGATTTTTGACTGATCACTTCCCCTCTCCCACTGTGTAAATGGCCTGTCTTTTAAGTTACCATTGATGGATCTGTAAATCTGTTGTAAAGTGAGAGCCAGACCCATTGTGGGAAAAAGCAAAGGAATAGGCAGCTACAGTATGCATGTACCTGGCACACACTCCTCCCTGGCTAGTGCATCTGTCGGCTCCTTCCTGCAATGTTCTCTGTTGTGTCTAGGGCTCAAAAATTTCCTGTCTTTAAGTCTTTGTTCTTAGCTTGCTGGATTCAGTTTTACAGGGATTCAGGTGTGTTTTAGATATGATTGGCATTATAATGTTGTTTTATGCTGTTCAACTTAAATTAAAAGCTGACTCTGGAGTTGGGGTATGGTTCCTCCTCCTCTAGACCTAAGCATGCTTGTTTAAAAGGTTTTCTCCAAAATCTCTGTCCCATATCGGGCAAGCCACCTGCTGCGTGACAGAGAAAGGAGAATAAAACAAAATAAAGAAACAGATTATTCCCAATGGGGACTAATGATTGCTGCTCATTTTGTATGCTTTTGGCTTTGTTCCAACTCTCCAAAATATTTGCTAAGGTACAAATCTTACCTCAAGAGGGACCATGTCTCAAAAACAAGCAAAGAACCAAACAATAAAAACCTGAAGTATTGCCAGGTGGTGGTGGTGGCAGCACACCTTTAATCCTAGCACTGGATCTTTGTGAGTTCAAGGCCAGCCTGGTCTACAGAGCAAGTCCCATGACAGGCAGTTATAAAACCTGAAGTATCTTGAGTGAATGAGCTGTGGATAAAGCAAATACCAGAATTTGAAGGGAAAGAAAAGCCACTTAAGTTTTTGATACTTCTTTATCATTTGTGCAATTGGTAGTATTCACCCCAAATGATTTCTTGTCTCCCCAGCCCTTGAACCTTTTCTTATACTAACTTGGCATCTTTGTCCCTTGTGATGATAAGGTGCCCCCCTGTGCTCCTAAATAGCACCACAGGTTCTTCTAGGTGAAAGGGCAATTGTCTATCCCAGGGGTGTGTCTTGAGCACATCCCCAGGACAGGTGCTCTGTCCTTTCCCATAGAGATGTAGGAAGACTTCTCACTTGTCTGTTCACTGTATGATACCATTCCCCAGTTCCCAGTGAAAGAAGCTTCCAGTTCTAAAACATAGCTGCCAAAAGGCTACTGAAAACAGATGACCAGCTGCCATAATTCTGCTGTGATGAAGTTGGCATGTCACCCACAAATGTCCTTTTGATGTTGAGAGATTTTTGAATTTGAAACCTAGCTCACTCCCATCAAACCTCTTGGGTTTTGGAAGACTGCCTGTCGTGTGCATTACCATGACAGACTGACCTCCATAAATATCATCACTTTACCCATTTAACTATACCTGACTCTTATCCTATGATGGTTTGAATAAGTATGAACCTATAGGAGGTGGCACTGTTAGGAGGTGTGGTCTTGTTGGAGTAGGTGTGGCTTTATTGGAGGAAGTGTGTCACTGTGGGGACAGGCTTTGTAGTCTCAAATGCTCAAACTGTGCCCAGTGTGGTATAAGTTCACTTCCTGTTTCCTGTGTATCAAGGTCTTAGCTACCTTTCTAGCACCATGTCTGCCTGCATGCTACCTTGCTTCTGGCATAGCAATAATGGACTAAGCCTCTGAAACTATAAGCCAGTCCCAATTAAATGTTTTCCTTTGTAAGAGTTTCTGTGGTCTGTTGCTGCTGGGGCCATGCCAATCTGGGTGGCCTTCGCTGTCACCTGTGGCCATGGAGACAACCAAACCTAGTCTGTTGCTGAGGATCATGTCTGGGTCTGTGGTCCTACCACAGCCAAGGTCTGTGTTGTTGTCCATGGCCCATGTTGCCACCAAAGGCCATATGAAACATGGGATCTGGGCTGAAACCTGCGGCCTTGTTAGTGTCCAGGGGCCATGCTGCTGCCAAAACCATCCTGATCTGAGTAACCAGCTCAGATCTGAGCCTGGAGCTCGGATGTTGACCAGGCTGAACTGCTGTCTAGGGCCATGTCTAGGTCTGTGGTCTAGCCGCAGCTGGGGTCTGTGTTGAAGTCTGTTGCCCACATTGCCACTGCAGCCTTGGTGGAGTCTGGGGGCCATGCTGCAGCAGGGGCCATACAGATCTGGGTGTCCTGTGCTGCCACCCAGGGCCATGGTGTCATCTGGGCCCAGGATACTGCTGAGGACCATGTCTGAGTCCATGACCCTATAGTGGCCAGGGTTTGGATTGAGGTTATGTGTCTCTCTTTGTTGCCACTGAGGGCCATGAATGTGCCCAGGATCAGGTCAACCACCTGAGTCCAGATTGGTGTCTGAGGGCTATGATGCATGCATCTCTGAGTGACCTATGCTGCTACCCAATTCCATTGTAATGTCCGGGTCAGAGCTGCAGCTGAGGACCATGTCTGGGGCTGTGGCCCTACTACAGCCAGGGTCTGTGCTGATGATATCTGAGGCTCCTGTTACTACTGAAGGCCATGCAGACTCTTGAAGTCTGGGATCATGTTGGTGTCTAATGGTCACACTGCCACTGGTGCCCATGCCAATCCTAGTGACCTGCACTGCCACCAGGGCAATGCAGGGGACATCCAGACCTGGCTGCTTTCAAAGACCATGTCTGGCTCCATGGTCCTACCGTGGCTGGGGTCTATGCTGAAGTCCAATTCCTATATTGCCACCAAAGGTTATATAGAAACCCAGGGTTGGGGCTGCAACCTGAGGTCTTGGAGGTGTCTGGGGCGATGCTGTCATCAGAATCATCCCAGCCTGAGGGGCCAGTGCTTCCACCCAGAGCCAGGATGTTGTCTGGGCTCAAGCTGCTGCTGAGGGTCGGGCCTGGGTCCGTGGTCTAGCTGCATCTAGGATCTGTGTTGATGTCAGGAGCCTTAGGAACCTTGCGAGATGAAATCAGAAGGTCATGCTGAGCTGACCCTGTTCTTTGCTGACCTAGGAAGAGCTGGCCTTGCCTTTCACTGGACACTGCAGCAAGAGATCTGGCCCTGACCTTCACAGGACAGCCAGCTCCTGCACTTGGGAGAGATGACCCCACCTCTCACCATAGGTGAGGGTGAACCAACCCTGAGGAGATGGGGAGCTGGCTCTGCCCCTTCACCTGAGGCAGGTGGCCCCAGTGACCTGAACTGACCAGCTCAGCTGCCAACCAGATCCACAGCTGGGCCTTGGATTGGTCCACCCTAACCTGCTGGTCCTATACTGCTGGACAGTACTTGACACATCGAGGTCCCCAGTGCCATTAGGACAAATGAAGAGGTATTGGAGAGATGGGAAAGGAGAAGCAAAAACTTTTGTTTGGTTGGTTTGTTCTTGTCTGTTTGTTTGCTTGCTTGCTTGCTTGCTTTGTTTTGTTTTCTTTTGTGGGAGGACACTGCAGGGGTGAGAGGAGGATATGAGGGGACCGGGAGGTGAGCAGAAATTGGGCACATCCTGTGAAACTCCCAAAGAATCAGTCAGTGAAGAAGTTAACTTAGAAAAAAAGTTGCCATGGTCATGGTGTCTCTTCAGCAATGGAAACCCAAATAGAAGCACATGGTGGTGGCACACACCTTTAATCCCAGCACTCGGGAGTCAGAGGCAGGTGGATCTCTGATCTACAAAGTGAGTTCCAGGACAGGCAAGGCTACACAGAAAAACCCTGTCTCGAAAAAAAACAACCCCAAAAAACAAAAAAAAAAAAAAAAAAAAGGAAAGAAAGAAAAAAACCCTAAGACATCTCCTAAATGAAAATTTTTTAAGCTTCCTGATTGGAGAACAATTTATTCAATAATTTACAGTTTATGTTGAAATTATCTTAGAAATGCAAACCCTAGTAGGAGGTAGTTGTTTGCTAAAGAAAGCCATAGTTATTCCCATTCTTTTCTCTTCATCTCTCTTTCTGTACTGGAGAGGGAACACAGGGTTTGACACATGCTAAGCATCTGCTCTACCACCAAGTCCCCAGCCCTAAGAACCTATGTATGGGACATGGGAAGATGACTCAGCAGTTAGGAGTAGATAGTATTCTTTCACAGGACCCACGTTTAATTTCTGGTCCCCACATCAAATGGCTTAACAACCTCCTGTAACCCTAGCTCCAGCAGATCAAGGACCTTGCTATCTTCTAGACTCCAAAGACACCTGGACTCACATGTGCATGTTCTCCATTATAAAAAGAATCTTTAATAAGTATGAAAGTTATTTATTATATAAAATAATAATTATGGGCTAGACATGATAGCACATGTCTTTAATCCCAGCATTTGGGAAGCAGAGGCAGCTAGGTCTCTGTGAGTTTGAGGTCAGCTTGATCTAAATAGTGAGTTTCAGGACAGTCAGAGCTATAAAGTGAGATCTTGGCTAAAATATATAAATAAATAATGAAACATAAACTTCCTGGTTTGAGTATAGGGCACTTGAAGTTTCTGATGTCCCTTGTCACTAGCTGTCACTTGCTATGAACTATAGGCATTTACTGATACTAATTAGTTTAGGTAATTGTTTTATCCTATTTGAGATGAGCTTTGGTTCCTCCTTCAGCAGTCAGTTAACCTGGAGGTGGTAGAGCCTGTGTGAAAAATAAAGATCCTGGAGGGATGGGTATCTGGAAGTGACACCCACCTCCAGGGCTACAGTGAACAGCAGGATGAAAACTCGTTCTGAGCACACACTCCTCGTGGCCAGTGCTGAACCTGATTCACTACCTTCTTGGCTACCTGCTGAGGAAAGTTTGGTACTCATGCCAGTGTGGTGTTACTGGTACACAGCAGGAACACTTTAACCACCAGCCTTCAAGTCACCCTGCTGCAGAGGTGCCCTCCAGGACAAGGAGATAGTTCCGTATGATGGGAGGCCCACAGCACCCACACAGCATCCGGCTGCAGAGGTGCTCTCCAGGATAAGGAGATAGTCCGGTATGATGGGAGCTTGGACTGACATTTGTGGACTCTGCAGATGTACTTGTTCTGCCACCAGCAGAAGGAAGACAGATGGGGTGGGACAGTCTGCTTAAACCCTCAGGTCAGATGAGAAGTCTGGGGACCTTACAGTGAGAGGGGACAGGAGGTGAGGACCTCCTGGGAGGTGCTAAGGAGAGTGAGGACCTGTTTCCTGCTGTATTTGCCCAGCCTGTGAGATTGAACACAGTTACTGCTTCTTCTTGAGGACATGTGACAGATCATTTCATGTGGTGGCTTGGGGAGGGTACAGGTGTTGACACACATTTCAGTTAGTCAAGAAGATAATGATGCTGAGCCTGTTGGTGCATATCTGTGATCCCAGCTCTCAGGAGGCTGACACCAAAGGACCTGAGAATTTGAGGCCATCTTGAGCTACATTGTGATGCCCTCTCTCAAGAAAACAAAGATTAAAGGTGTGTGCCACCACTACCCGTCAGAGTCAGAGAGGCTAAGTAACAAGGAGGACTCAAGGAGGTGGTGGTGCATAGATCCACCTGGGGAGGGGAGGTAGAAAAGTCTTGCAGGTGGGGGTCATAACAGGAGGGATCAGGTTGGGGACGGATAGTATGATAGAGAGAGAGAGTACTGGGAGAGACTACTGGAATTGGGGGCATTTCAGGGGCGGTGTGGAAGCCTAGTACAAGGGAAACTCCCTGGGATCTATGAGGGTGACCCGAGCAAAGACTCTTAGTCATGGGGATTTAGAGCCTGAACTGGCCATCTTCTGTAACCAGGCAAGGCTTCTAGTGGCAGGACTGGGACATCAACCCAGCCACAAAACCTTCAACCTATAATTTATCCTGCTTGCAAGATATGCTGGGGTAATGGTGGTATATAACTTGGGGGAGTGGCCAACAATGACTGGTCTAACTTGAGGCCCTGCCCGGAGAAGGGGCCCATGCTTGGCACTACCTGGATGGCCAGGACCCAGAGGCTGAATATTCTAGAGACCTAGGGTAGAACCAAACACAACTGGCCAAAAAAAAAAAAGTCAACGAAATGATCTTTAATGATATTCTGCTATGCTCATAGACCCAGAGCCTAGCCGAATGGTCATCAGAGAGGCTTCATCCAGCAACTGGCAGGAGCAGATGCAGAAATCACAGCCAGACATTACGTGAAGCTCAGGGAACCCTGCAGAAGATGGGGCAGGAAGGATTGTAGGAGCCAGAGGGGTCAAGGACACCATAAGAACACAGCCCAAGAATCAACTAAGCGGGGCTCCTGGGCTCACAGAGATTGTAGTGACAATCAGGAGCCTATATGGGTCTGAACTAAGCCCTCTGCATATATATTTGGTTGAATGGCTTGGTGTTCTTTTGGGAATCCTAACAGTAGGAATGGGGATTGTCTCTGACACTTTGGTTTGCTCTTGGGACCCTTTTCCTCCTACTGGGTTGCCTCATCCAGCCTTGATATGGGGGTTTATGCCTAGTCTTGTAATTTGTTTTGAGGTGTTTGATTGATATCCCTGGGAGGCCTTTTCTTTTCTGAAGGAGAACAAGACTGTATCTGGGGGAGAGGGGAGGTTGGAGGGGACTATGAGGAGCAGAGGGAGAGCAACTGGTTGGGATGTAATATATATAGAGAGATAAAATATCCAAAACAAGAGCTCGAGTATTTGCTTTAGCAACATTAGAATGATGCAGAGAATATTAGTATGGCCTCTCTGTACAAGGATTACCTACAAATTCGTGAATTGTTCTATATGTAGAAGAAAAAAGAGCTGGGGTTATATATAGTTCAGTGATAATGTTTCCCTGGCATACCTGAGAGCCTTGGGTCTGTCTCCAACAACACCAGAAAGAAAAGAGAAAAAAGTGACTAAGTTTCTGTCCTGCACAAAGAGGCTGCATGGGGTCCATAGAAGGATCCTGGAGGATGGGTTCCATCTGTTGTAACTCCCTTCTATGATGGGCATTTTGTCATTCCAAGTAAGCACAGCCATTTGCTGATCAGTGGGGAATGTAGAACACAGGTGGTGCTGTGTGATAGCTTTGCCCTCTCCAGGCAGTCCTAGGGATTGGATCTGTCCCCAAATAACTCGTGTCAAAATTCTGATCCCCCGCCCAGCACCTCATAGTGTAACCGTGTTTGGAAATATATTGTTGTAGTTGTAATTAATGAAGATAGGTCATTTGGGGAGGCCCTGAGTTCTACTAGGAGGTGTGTCCTTACAAAAAAGAGGAAATTTGGACATAGCACACAGAGATGGGAAGATGTTGCCACAAGCCACAGAATACTAAGACTGGGAGAAAGGCAACAGGGGCTTGTTGGTTTTTTTAATTTTTTTTCAATTATTGTTATTTTTGTTTTTGTTTTTACGATGCAGGGCCTCTTTGTGTAGCTTTGGAGCCTGTCCTGGAACTCACTCTGTAGACCAGGCTGGCCTCGAACTCACAGAGACCCGCCTGCCTCTGCCTCCCAAGTGCTGGGATTAAAGGTGTGTGCCACCACTGCCCGGCTGAGTTTGTTGATTTTTCTACACAGACTTCAGTCTCCAGTGCTGCATGAGGGTCCACGTCTTTGTGCACTCTGCCTTATGACAGTGACAGCCAATGTAAGGTGGCAGGAGGCGAAAGTGACCGAGTCAGGAGAATTACCGTGTGTTCTGTGGTTCTTGGTATTGGTTTGTCTTTGCTGGGGAGGTTGACTAGGTCGTTACATTCCATGGCCTCTGGAAGCCCTCGCGGGGCTGAGCTGTGGTCAGGCTTAGCCCTGGTGCTGGGCAGTGAGTAATCCCAAGCAGAACCTCTGTAGAGGCTTCAAATTCAGAAGTTTGAAAATGTTCAGATCTAAGCTTGTGTCTGCGTGAATTCATTTGTGTGTGTGTGTTTGTTTTCTTTTGTTTGTTTGTTTTTTCCAAACAAGAGTTTCTTTGAGTAGTGTTGGCTTTTCTAGAACTCACTCTGTAAACCAGACTGGCCTTGAACTCACAGAGATCCACCTGCTTCTGCCTCCCAAATCCTGGGATTAAAGGCATACTCCCATTGTCCCTCTGCAGCCTGGGTTCAGGCCCTGAGACAGGGAAGGAGGTGTCAGCGCGACAAAGTGAATTGTCTGACCACCAGATGAATTTCACACAAGTGGCCAGACCCAAATAGTTCCAGCCATCTTTCTACATCAAAAACAAACATGTTTTCCCATGCTAACCAATAAGTTTTTTCCATCCTCCAATGTTAACCTCTAGAAAAAACAAATATGTCAAATATGTTTTCTCCCAACTTTTTTTTTCTTTTTCTTTTTTTTTTAAATATTTATTCATTTATTATGCATACACTATCTGCCTACATGTCTGCCTGCAGGCCAGAGAGGGCACCAGACCTCATTACAGATGGTTGTGAGCCACCATGTGGTTGCTGGGAATTGAACTCAAGACCTTTGGAAGAGCAGGCAATGCTCTTAACCACTGAACCATCTCTTCAGCCCCCTTCTCCCAACTTTTACATCAAAACATCTTTAAACAAAAAACACTTATCATTTTGCTAGTGTGGCCAGATATCAAGCAAGGTACATCCTGTCTTAACAAAACTAAAAGGTGATTGACATAGGCACACATTTTCAAGAACAACAATCCCTTTCAAAACATATTTTCGGGGATGACTTGCCTTGATCTTGTCAACACTGTGTTAGAGCAGCTCCTGAAGTGACAGCTGGCATCCCCAGACAAGAAGCCTGAGAGGCAGCAGCTCCCAAAGAATTTTAGGGGAAAATATTAGAGAAAAAAATGTGGTTTCTAGCCTTCCTGGACCTGGAGGGAGGGGGAGGGAGCTGGAGCTTCCCACAGGGCAGGAAACCCTGACTGCCCTGGGGGACGGAGGGGAAGGAGGGGGGGAGTGGGGGGAGTGGGAGGGTGTTGGGAGGGGGGGGCGGAAATGGAAACTTTTATAATTTAATAAAATTTACTAAAAAAAAAAATACCCTAGGTACACAAAAAAAAAACATCAAAAAAAAAAAAGAATCAACACAATAAATAGTGGGTATGGTGATGATAAATGCTATAGAAAAAATAAAGAAGGGAAGTAGGATGATTCTTGATACTATCTTGAAGCTTAATATAATCCTGTGCATAGATGGGGCTTCAATAAATATTTGTTGTTGATATAAAAAAAAATGTGGTTTCTAAGAATGATCATATCTGTCTCATGCATGATTGATAAAATGACACAAAGACCACCAAGAGAATCATCAATATTAGGAGAGAGAAGAGAGCATGCAGGCTACGTGGTTCCAGCAGTATTCTCCACTATCCTGAAGTCCACTGGTCCTTGTCAAGTAAGACTGTCCCCATGGGCTTTTCCCTTATCTGGAGACCCGTTGGAACAAGTACTCATATACTAGTCTGAAACTAGGCTGTATGGCTCCCAACTGCGTACACCTTTAATATATATGTGTGTAAACATATATATTATTACACACACACATATATACGTATGTTATTACATATACATACATACACACATATATATTAGCTAGATTTATTTATTTTACATCCCAACTGCAGTTTCCCCTCCCTCCTCTCCTATTCTCTCCCACCACCTCCCCTTCTTTATATATTTTTATATAATATATAAATCTGAAGGATGAAGACTACAGGCCAGGTTGTTTAACCTAACTTTTTATTTTGGGTGAGAAAATAGCTTTGTCTACTGATGGGCAATTTTTTTTGTCTGGGTACGTTAACTGTTGTATATGGATTTCTGTCTAAAACTTCAAGTCCATTATGATCTTAGAAGTGCTTTAGACGTCTTGCCCAGGGACAGGGCTGATATCCACCTGCCATTTGCTGTCTGAGTGGGTCATGACCTCATACCTCCTTAGCACATTTGGGCTGCAGGGCCTGTCCTGTCCCCTGTGGTGAGGCGCTCTACTGTCTTCTCCACTCTGTTCTAGCTTGGTAGCCTGTGTGCTGGGTGGATGCTGACCCTTTGCATGAACTCTACTGCCATCTACCTGGACTCCTTTCATGACAGATGTGTTTCATGTAACTGTTCTCTTCTTCCCCCCACAGAGTCTATAGGAGACGTAGCCGCAAGACTCCCAGATGAACAACCGAAAGGAAGATATGGAAATCACTTCTCACTACCGGCATCTGCTTCGAGAGCTCAATGAGCAAAGGCAGCACGGAGTCCTGTGTGATGTGTGTGTTGTGGTGGAGGGCAAGGTCTTCAAGGCACACAAGAACGTCTTGCTCGGGAGCAGCCGCTACTTCAAGACACTCTATTGCCAGGTACAGAAGACATCTGACCAGGCCACCGTCACTCACCTGGACATTGTCACAGCCCAGGGCTTCAAGGCCATCATTGACTTCATGTACTCCGCTCACCTGGCTCTCACCAGCAGGAATGTCATTGAGGTGATGTCAGCTGCTAGCTTCCTACAGATGACTGACATTGTGCAGGCCTGCCATGATTTCATCAAAGCTGCACTGGACATCAGCATCAAGTCAGATGCCTCAGACGAACTCTCTGAGTTTGAGATCGGCACCCCAGCCAGCAGCAGCACAGAGGCGCTGATCTCAGCTGTGATGGCGGGGAGGAGCATCTCCCCATGGCTGGCTCGGAGGACAAGCCCTGCCAATTCTTCTGGAGACTCTGCCATTGCCAGCTGTCATGAAGGAGGAAGCAGCTATGGGAAGGAGGACCAGGAACCTAAGGTTGATGGCCCTGATGACATTTCTTCACAGGTGTTGTGGCCTGGAGATGTAGGCTATGGGTCTCTACGCATCAAGGAAGAACAGGTTTCACCATCGCATTATGGAGGCAGTGAGCTTCCATCCTCCAAGGACTCTGCAATACAGAACTCTTTATCAGAACAGGGTGCTGGGGATGGCTGGCAGCCCACAGGCCGGAGGAAGAATCGGAAGAACAAAGAGACTGTCCGACATATCACCCAGCAGGTGGAGGAGGACAGCCGGGCTGGCTCCCCGGTACCCTCATTCCTGCCCACATCGGGATGGCCTTTCAGCAGCCGAGATTCAAGTAAGCCTTTCTTGTGACAGGTTGGGCGCAGGTGGCCCAGGTCACTGTGTTGACTGCTTCCTGGCTGTTGGTGAAGTGGCACATTCCCATGCTCACACCAATGACTTCCTATGCTAACCTGTCACTGGCAGCTCACAACTGCCTACAACTCCAGCTTCAGAGAGGTCTGAATCTCTGGCCTCCGTGAACTCCTGCACTCACATGCACATACCAGCACCCACATACTTAAATTTTTAAAACTTTTACTTTTTTAAAAAAAAATATTAATTACATGCGTATGAGGTAGAGTGGGGATTACATGGGCACATGACTCCGGATACCCACAGAGGCTCTGGCTTCTGAGCAGATGTGAGCTTCCTGACGTGGATGTTGGGAATCAAACTTGGGTCCTCTGAAAGAACAGTATATGCTTAACTTAACTGCTGAGCCATCTCTTCAGCCCCCTTTGCCTTGCAGACATTTTTAACTGAGCAGTTCACTGACATTAAATATATTCATGTTGTACCCATCTCCAGAACTTAAAAAAAATTTATTTTATTTTGTATGAATATTTTGCCTGTGTACCATGTGTGTGCTTGGTGCCAGTGGAGGTCAGCAGAGGGTACCATATATACACTGGGACTGGAGTTACTGATTGTTGTGAGCTATCACATGAGTACTGAGAATTAAACCTGGGTCCTCTATAAGAGCAACAAGTGCTCTTAACCGCTGAACCATCTCTCTCCACACACTTCAGTTTTATTTTTAAAGTTCTCATTGCCCTGTTTCCAACACTGAGCCACCAAGCACGGAGCCGGGGCTTGGATATTTCTAAAAGTTGGTTTCACTTAGCATTGCTGCACGTTGGGCTGAATCATTCTCTGTGCCGGTGTCCTGGGGGGCGGGAGGAAGTCGAGCAGAGTCTATACCCACAAGGTATCAGAGGCATTTGACACAGTGTGACAGCCACAAATATCTTCTGACATGCACACATGTCTCCAAGCAGCCCCCGTTCTCCCTAGGGATGGACTGAACTGAATCAGAACAGTATCAGTCATTTCCTGATCGTTGTCCTGTGGAGAGGCACACAAGGCAATAGACATGAATAGTGATGTCCGCCTCCTGGATTTGCTTATAATCCCAAACCTGGTGAATGCTGAGACTTTGGGGGCACGTTTTGAGGTTCACAGATATTGGGGGCCATCCTCCACTTGTCTAAGAATATATGTGTGTGCCCAGTTTCCCTGCAGCTGACGATGCTGGGGGCATGTATCCCATGGGAGTCAATGGTAAATTAGTAAGTGGAACAATCCTAGAGCCTGTGGGCTGGAGGTTTCAAATGCAGTCAGCGAGCAGAAGGTGTTTTCAGAATCCAACAAGTGATTTTGGCTGTATACTTTCTTAGTCTTAAATCCTTGGGTTGCCAAGGCAACTGTGAACTGCTTTTGCTTGGGGATTCTGAAGGCTGAGATAAGGATGAGAGGTGTAGGCTGGAGCGTGGGATGCTTCCTGCATGTCATGGTAGTGTGTCATTCGTTGGGCCTCTGCCACCCTGGCAGGAATGTAAATCACGACACTTGATGGAGGTCAGTTTGTTTTCATTAAAGATTGATATATTATTTATAGGAGAAAAGGCTCTTTCTGTTTTTGTTTTTTTTGAGACAGGGTTTCTCTGTAGCTTTGGAGCCTGTAGACCAGCTGGCCTTGAACTCACAGAGATCCGAAAAACTTTTTCATTTAAGATTTATTTATTTATTATAGAGTGTTTCGCCTGCATGTATGCCTTTAGGCCAGAAGAGGGCGTCAGATATCGTTACAGATGGCTTTTGAGCCACCATGTGGTTGTTGGGAATTGAACTTAGGACCTCTGGAAGAGCAGCCAGTGCTCTTAACCTCTGAGCCATCTCCAGCCCTGAAAAAGCTCTTTTCTAAAGACACATGTCAGGTGCCATCAAGGCTTTCTGAGCAGTTCCTCAGAAGTGAAACCTTCTGGTCCTGGTCACTTGTCTTGTCCTCTCTGTGTCTCCATCTCAGCTCCTGTGATTTTCGAAACGAAAGGTCAAATACATTATAACCCAGCAGGTCTGGAAAACCAGTTTTAAAATGTACTCAATCTATGTGATAACTGGTGAGATGGTATTAAATAAGTTCATCGGTTGTGGTGCTGGCCAGACTTGGACATCTGGTACACTGTTGATAAGGCCACCTTTTCATGACATCGTTTAGACAGCATAACAACAAATTTGATCATCTTTTTCTTTAAAATTCTTCTCTCAGACAGTACATCCTGACCTCCTCTATTTCCCCCCAGAACTGACCATCTCTGTAAAGAAAATCCTCTGTGCTGTTGTGGGTGTGTGGAGGGACTGCATGACTTTGAGGGAAAAGGGGGCACCATCTGCTTCAGCTCCCCCGCACCCCACATTCCATAGCACTACCTGCTCTATTCTTCATCTAGCCTGCGTGGTTTTCCTCCCAAATGTGACTGACAGAACCTCCTGGAAGCAGGTCTGGTTGGGAGTGGCAGCTGGTGACCAGACGGGCGAAACTGCTCTCTTTTGGATGGCTCTGTTTAAATGAGAACCTGGCGCTGCACACCTTCCTGTCAGTTGTGGGAAGGACAATGCTGATGCCATAAAATAGCGGAGGAGGCAAGAACAAGCACAGGTCAGAAACCTGTGACAGGAAGAGGCATCCTGGCATTCAGCAGCGCTTGACAGGCTGAATCCAGATTCTGATAGACCCAGTGTGTACAGAGTGACTTTTCATCTTGAGGGGTAGGGGGCGGCTGGTCTCAGGACCACGGCCTTCCCTTTTGCACCTCTGATCAGTAGCTTGCCAGAGCCTCCTTGTAATACTGAGAGGTCTCATTGTCCATCCCTCTTTAGGCTGAGCTGCAGTGGAAATGCTTTGTATTGTCGTGGTGACTTTACAGAGGGTTAACCTGAAAGGGTTCCTATACATAGACTAACCTAAAAACATTCTTTGAAATGAGGAGACTAGGTGACTAGTCACTGTGGGGTACCTGGCAGAGTTGATGGTGTATGATCCCCACCAGAACAGTCCAGATAGTGCCTCCTGGGCTGAGGGGTGTGTTGCCTGGGCTGAGGAATGAACAGGAAGCTTGTGGAGGGATTTGCTTCTGGGAACCCAGCAAGTCACATGTTGAGATGACTGTTGGCAGGGCACTGATACCCCCAGACTCTGCAGGAATCTTTCTGGTCTGTTGCAAAGAAAGCAGATTCTGGCAGGATGCCAAGTTGATGGGGCAGTTACCTTAAATTGAGTAGCTCTTGTCTGTGGTAATATTTCTTGTTTGTTTTGCTTTGTTTCACAAGGCTATCTCACTGTGTAACCCAGGCTGGCATTGAATTTCCTGCCTCTACATCTCAAGAGCTGGGATTGAAGGCATGGGCTTATGGTGTTTCCTGCTGTTTATTTCCCACTGTAATGCAGGTCTGTAGTTTGATCACCATGTTGTACTCTGAGTGAAGAAGCATCCTTGGTCAGGATCTTACAGAGACACTGCCTTGAAGTCGCTTCCTAATGCCCAGGTTCTCCTCTAGCGGCTCCTGCGGCACCTACACCACCAAACCTCCCCATCGGGAGCGTGTGGAGCTGTTCTTTTTCACACTCTCCCATGAGGCCTCTGGTTGAGTTTTAATCTCTTCTTTTTCTAGCATCCATAGACTGTGCCACAAGTGCCATGCTGATGGTGGAGTGTAGTGAGCTAGCCCAGAGTAGCCAGTGATACAGTATGCCATAGCGGTGTGCCATAGTGGCGTGTCATAGTGGCATGCCATAGCCGTGTGCCATAGCCGCATGCCATAGCAGATATAGCAGATGCCATAGTGGTGTGCCATAGCCATGTGCCATAGCGGCGTTCCTTATATAAATCAAGGAATTTACTTATGTTGAATATTCAGGCTGACAGATTTTCTTTTTTTTTTCAAGGTAATAATTCAGATTAAAACAGGTATATAAGTGAGATATTAGTTTGTAAACCTACATTTACTGACTTTATTTACTCATTATTTTTTTTGAAGATCTATTTATTTATTATGTATACAACATTCCTTCCGTGTATTCTTTCATGCCAGAAGAGGGCACCAGATCTCATTATAGATAGCTGTGAGCCACCATGTGGTTGCTGGAAATTGAACTCAGAACCTCTGGAAAAGCAGTCAGTGCTCTTAAACTCTAAGCCATCTCTCCAGCCCTACTTATACTATTTTTTTTAATGATTTATTTCTTTTTATTTTATGTATATTGGTGTTTTACCTGCATGTATGTATGTCTGTGTAAGGGTGTCAGAGCCCCTGGAACTGGAGTTACAGACAGCTATGAACTACCATATGGGTGCTGGGAATTGAACCAGGGTCCTCTGGAAGAGCAACCGATGCTCTTAACCACTGAGACATCTCTCCAGCCCCTGTTATGCTATTTTTAAAATTATTATTAGTAGTAGTAGTAGTACTGTGGCCGGACTTTATGTGTACGGGTATTTTTTCTGTGTGTGCACCATGTACATGTCTGATGTCCGCGGAGGCCAGGACAGGGTGCAGGATCCTCTAGAATTGGAATTACAAGCAGTAGTGGGCTGCTATGGGAACTGAATACTGGTCTCTGAAAGATTATCCAGTACTCTTTAAAAAACGACGACAACAAAACCCTATTTATTTTTATTTTATGTGCATTAGTGCATTAGTGTCTGCATGTATGTCTGTGTGAGGATGTTAGATCTGCTGGAACTAAAGTTACAGACAGTTGTGAGCTACCATGTGAGTGCTGGACTTGAACCTAGGGCCTCTGGAAGGACAGCCGTGCTGTTAGCTGCTGAGCCGTCTTTTTGCTGTGTAGCTGAAGATGGCCTCGAGCTCCTGTGCTGGAATGACAGGTGTTCACAACCATACCATTCTTAAATGGAAATATATATATTAAAAATATAACTTTTTTATTAAATTATATTTAAAAATATACTTTTTTTTTTGAGACAGAGTATCACTGCAACCCAGACTGGC